TCTAAGAATCAATCACCCAAGCTCAGATTTAGAGAATTAATAAAGAGAAAGTGTTTGAATGGAGGTTTAACTCAAAGATTAGTAAGCTTCAATGAAAAAATTGCTAACTTTTATGGAAATGGAGCTTTGAGTGAATTTGGGTAGATTAAGAGAATTGAGAGAATTTTTTGCAAGGTGAATTTGGCTATCAAAAGCTTGAAAATTGAATGAAATTAGGGCTCTATTTATAGAGTTTAGGCTTGAGATTTTTGGTGGTTTGGAATGAAAATTAGGTTTGGTAATTGATTTTTAGAGCCAAAATTGAATCAAGTGGTGCACATGTGATCACATGAGGGTGTATGATGGAATTTAATTATGATGAAGTGGGGAATTGTTTTTTTGTAATCAAGAGTATTCTCTAAAAAAGGAATTGGAGCCAAATGCTGAAAACTTGAATATTGCTTCTTTTTTTTCAAAATTCGCCTCGGGAAATTGATTTCCACAAACAGGGGAATCAATTTCTACTGCAAAAACCTAAAATCCTGGCACAAAAATAGTGAGAGAAATCTATTTCCTAAATATGGGAAATCAAGATTGCTTGCTGGAATTTCAGGTAACGACAAGAGTTGATTTTGATATAGGTGTGATTGGTGAAGGGTGGAGAGGGATCATCACCCTCCTCTAGGATTTGTTTTTACCATTTTTGTTGTTCATTATGTTTTGAATGTGTATGCGAAAATTCATGTTATATGATGTATTAATATGTGAATTTTGTGCCCCCTAATATGCTGATTTTATACATGGATTGTATGATTAAAATCTGAATTATATATTACCAATGTCGTGTTCTTGAGGTTTTGGATACATAACCTTAAATCATTGAAAAATATTGATTTTGACATGTTAAAAGGTGACTAGATGTTATTTAATTACGTATAACATGTATGCATAACTTTTTTTTTAATGTTTTGAATTGTTGGGAATCAGAATCAGAGTTCCAGAATGAACTATAATGCAGAAAACATAGTTTCTGCCTTCTGTTCAGGGTGACGGTCGTCACCAGCGTGATGGGTAGACCGTCACGCACTAGGTATGGATGGCAGTCGTCAACAACGTGACAAGGAGACCGTCATGGTCTCCAGGTGGGATTTCTTTTACTAGTCATCACATGGGTGATAGGTCGATGGATTTTGGGTGTCAGACTGGGTGCCATTCGTCACCCAGCTAACGGGCGGACCGTCACATAGTCAATGGAAGCGTTTTGAGCTTATGTTTCCGATTTTCTGTTTTGTTTTACCGCGCGGTTGATATATGGTTGTTGTTGAATGAAATTAATTGATTGAATATATATATATATATATATATATATATATATATATATATATATATATATATATATATATATGTGTGTGCATATATTAAATCAATTATATTGTTTTATGATGGTGTGTGCTTTTCGTGAATACTTATGTGACATGCACATAATCATGATTATTGTGTTGTGGTGGTTGTTGTTCAGAAAGGGGAACTATGATATGTTATTTATGAAACTCGGTCTATGTTTTGAAAGGGAACATTAAACCAATTATTATTGTTGCATTGATAATATGCCATGCATCATATTATGTTGTGTTGTGAAAGAGGCAAGTCACAAGTTCAGAAGAGGGGACGAATGGCTTTTCCAGAGCTCAGAAGGGGGGATCGAGGTTCAAAAGGGGGGACCCAGTTCGAAGAAGAATCATTATTGAGTTGGTACCACATGCATGTTATTGAGTCTTGAGTCAAATTGCATACATATAAGCTTTGTGGTGTTGGTGTGAATTATTCATGGTGCTGAGTAAGAATAATTGATTGTGATTTATTGTGTAACTGAATGTTGTTGTGTGTTTTATATTTACCCTCACATTTTTACTCCGTTAATATATCAAAGTTTATTCTCACCCTTTTCTTGTTGTTTTTGTGTTGCTTGTACTTTATTGTACGGATACTCAGGAATGTTTTGCTGATGATAGTTGGAAGATGGCTTGATGCTTATCTTTGTTTACTTATTTTATCGTTATTTTTTGTTGGTTAAATGCTCAAGTATATAACATCGAGGAACACAACAAGTTTTTTTTCATGAGTTATGAGTTGAATCATGTTATTTGATTTGAGTACTTCATTATTGAAGGATTATGTTGAAGTTTTGTTTAATTAATATTCCACAACGAGTTGTTATTTTGAAATGTTTGATAAGTATGCATGTTTTGTCGAGTGACATCCTGGATTTTCGTTTAATTGTTTTAATGTAAGTTTTGGGGTTTAGGGTGTTACATAGTGGTCACAGAGCAAATTGTTTCATCTGGCCAGGTTTTTGTAATGTTGCTTGTTCCCTAGTATGCGAGATGTGTATGAATAATATCGTCATAATGTTTCTTCTAATGGCTGTTTACTGGTGTGCAAAAATATGGCAGGGAGAATAAATGATTGAGCGATTACTAATGCTTTGGAAGCAATGACTCAGGCATTGTAGGGTCAGCAAAATCATCAGGGTGCAGATGATGAATTTCTTGGTTTGGGGAAGCTTCAAAGGAACAATCTGTCGACCTTCAAGGGCATATATGATCCATAAGGTGCTCAAACATGGCTCAGAGAGATTTAGAATAATTTTTTAGTGAAGGCTTGTAGTCTTTCCCAGAAAGTGTTGTTTGGTACTTATATGTTATCAAAGGAAGCTAAGAACTACTGGGATAATGCGCGTTAGAGAATGGAAGGTGTGAGTACTGAGATTACTTGGGTTCTGATCAAATCTAAAGTTTTAGAGAAGTATTTATCAGCGGACATGCGCAGTAAGAAGGATATCGATTTCCTTAGGCTGAACAAGGGAATCCAATAGTTGTTGAATATGCTGCTAAGTTCAAAGATCAGGTGAAGTTTTGTCCACACTATAATAGTGTGAAGGATGAAGGATTGAAGTGTATCAAGTTCGAAAGTGGCTTGCGTCCCAAGATCAAGCATGGCATTGTGTATCAAGAGATTTGGCATTTTTTTGTCCGGGTGAATAAGTGTAGGATATATGATGAAAATAGCAGGGTACGATCTACTTACGATAAGAGTATTAGTGAGAAGAAAGGGAAGGATCCTAATTTCGAGAAACCTTATGGTGCTCCAACTGACAAAGGGCAACAAAAGGCTTCTGGTGAGGAAAGACCAAGTGGGGGAGATACTCCTGCTTTTATCAAGTGTTTTAAGTATGGTGGTGTGGGTTATCATGTTGAAGACTGCAAGAGTTCTAAGAAGAAATGCTTCAAGTGTGAGAAGACATGCCATCTTATTGCTGATTGTAAGAGTAACTCACTGACTTTCTTCAATTATGGAGAACCATGTCACATTAGTACGCATTGCCAAGAACCAAAGAAAGCCTAGTCTAGAGGGAAAGTTTTTGCTTTGTCAAGATCAGAGACTACTAGTTCCGACAAGTTGATTTGAGGTACATGTTTTATCAATGGTATTCCCCTAATTACTATTATTGACACAAATGCAACACATTATTTCATTTCGCTTAATTGTGCTAATATGTTGGGTTTAAATTTGTCTTATATGATTTAGAGTATGGTTATTGATACCCTAATTAATGGTTCAGTGACTACTTCATGGGTGTGTTTGAAGTTCCCGCTGACTATCTATGGTAAGAACTTTGGCATGAACTTAGTTTACTTATCGTTGAATCAACTTGATGTTATCCTTGTAATGAATTGGTTGAAGTTCAACCACGTGCATATCAACTGCTTCGATAAGACAGTGATGTTTCCTGAGTTTAGAGAAGGTGAAGAGCTGACATTTTTATCTTCTAAGCAAGTGAAAGAATTATTGAAGATGAGGCCCAGATATTTGTAATGTTTTCTTCTTTGAAAATTTATATTAAAGTTGCAATTGTTGAGTTGTAGTTGTGTGTGACTTTCTAGACGTATTTCTAGATGATATTAATGATTTTCCATCGGAGCGTGAAGTTGAATTCGCCATAAACTTGGTATTTGCGGTCAACCCTTCCTTCACCACAACAAAAGCTCAAGTCCACAGTTGCATCCCACAACCTCCTTTCTCCGATCCATTCTAATTCTATAACGAAACAAACATTAAAAATGTGATAAATATGTATGAAAGAACAAAGTAGGCTAATGTCCAACATGCGTAATTTTGCGCAATAAACTTGTTACATGCATTTTAAAACACTAATATCAAACTCATGAATTTATACTTTTTAGTACATTTGATAATTAATGTATGTAGTTCATATATATACTATATACATTAATTGTCAAATATACCAACTTAACATCAAGTTTTTATGGTAGAACTTGTTCTATCTCAATGACTTTTGAGACCATTGTTCCACATCCAAATCTCATTAGATTTTCATGATTTTTGTTGTAATTAAATCCTCTACTAACACATTACCACATAGAGTAAATTGATCTCATCTTCAATCAAAGCATTCCCAACAATTAGAGAAAAACCTTGATAACATCATAAAAAAAACACTAGTCATTACCATTGTCCCTTCAAATCAAAATTCCTCCCAAACCACAAATCCATTCAACACTTAAAAACACTCATTAGAAAGCTCACATAAAATCCTAATAGAACCAGAAAACCTCACCCTTATCTATAAAATTCAACTCAAGTTACAAGCAATTAAATCAAACTTAAAAGCACACCCAAAACAACTTGTAACACCATGAATCCAAGCCGTGAACAATACTCTCGCCATCCCTCAATTACGCTCATCAACCATCGATAGAAACCCCATCCAACGGCTCATATTTATTATTAGAATAAATATTCAATCCGTGTGAAGAGTCTCTCAACCAATAAAAATTAAGTAATTAAATATTATCACAAACACCCTTCACTATTTAAACTATCAAAACTCAATCTTTTCTCACACCAAATATTCAACTTCTTTCTCAATTACATATAATTAATTAAGCCTAAGATATTTCAATTATTTTCCCAATCTTTTCTTAACCCAAAACTTCTCAATGGCAACAAAAACTTCCAAACCACTTGCTTCACATCCTACATATGAAGAGGTTAGATATACTAATAATTTTTCTTACAATATTGTTCACTAATTGTGATTTCAAATTTTAATTAGGTCTAATTTTTTGATTTGCATGGTTTAATTACAGATGATTAAGGAAGCGATTGTGCTGCTGAAAGAGAGAACAGGTTCAAGCCAATACGCGATTGCGAAATTCATTGAAGAGAAACACAAACAGCTTCCTCCAACTTTCAAGAAGCTATTGCTCCAAAATTTGAAGAAGAATGTTGCTTCTGGAAAGCTTGTTAAGGTTAAAGGTTCATTCAAGCTTTCTCCGGCGGTGAAACCAGCACCGGCGACGAAACCTGCAGTTGCAAAGCCAAAGACAAAGCCGGTTGCTAAGGTGACAGCGGCTAAAGCTAAGCCAGCCGCGAAGCCGAAGGCGAAAGCCGTTGTGAAGCCGAAGGTTGCTTCTAAGGCTAAAGCTGTTGTCAAGGCGAAGGCGGTTGTGAAACCGAAGGCTAAGGCTGCGAAGACGTCGACTAGAACGACGCCGGGGAAAAAGGTTGCTATTGCGAAGGCGGTGGTGAAGAAAGCTGTGGCAGCGAAAAAAGCGCCGGTGAAGAGCGTGAAAGCGAAAAGTGTGAAGACTCCGGTGAAGAAAGTTACGACGAAGAGAGGGGGAAGAAAATAGGTTTGAAGTTGTAAAGTTTCTTTACTGCTTAATTAATGTATTCTTGTATTAGATTTTTCTTTTTCTTTCATCAGAAATAGATATAGGATTTGTGGGAATTGATTTTAATTTTGGTTTATTGATGATTAGGTAATCCTATGTAAATTGCTCGTGAAGTGGTTGAATGCATGTTTGTTAACTTTTCTCTATGATATGGCTGGGCTGAACAATTTGTGCAATTTATATTGTTGGATTTTCATTCAGGGTCTGCAAAATGCAATTACTAGTTTTCAATTTAAATGACTAGTCTTCGAAGAATTTAATTGAAATCCAATTTTAGTGTAAATAAATTTTACATCATTAATAAATGGTAATTCTTAGATTTTTAATTAAGATTTAATTTTTATTTTAATTATTAATAAAATAATGTTTATAAGTGGTTGTGATATATCAATCGTGTAAAACTTTTTATATTGATAATATATAATAATTAATTTTTAAAATTATATAATACAATATTATTTAAAATTTACTTGAATTTTTATTTAATTATATATTTAATTAATTGATATGAGGAAATATCAATACAATTTCTTATTGATACAAAAATCAAAATTATCAATTTTAGGGGTTGAACTGAAGTAAACCATTTCAAACTTATTATATTATTCATCTAAAATAAATAAATAATCTTATCCAACTCTTTTTTTTTTTGAAAAAAAATAATTATATTATGGAAAACTTAATGTCCGTCAAGATGTACACGGATTGTGTTGAATTTTTCTTTTAAATAATCTTTTTTTTAAAAAAAAATTCTCAAATAATCATATTTTCAGAAATTTTATCAAAATGATTAATTTTCAAACAAAAAAATTTCACCACACAGAGGAGTAGTCATTCTATGTGGCGTATGCATTCAATTTAAAGAGGATGCGCCACACTGCATGGTTTGACCTCCTTTGTAAAGTCATGCAGTGTGGCGCATGCATGTGTTTTTGAGAGGAGGAGCCACTCTCCTTGGCTTGACAGTGTAATTGAAATTTTCTATAAATACAACCACCCATCCTCTTCATTTTTCCACACCACTTGTTACATAACTAATAGAAAATGTCTTCAACTCCCTTGTCAAAGTTTTCACTGATCAAAAGAGATGTGCATGTTATTTTTTTGGCGACAAAGCTTCCGGTGAAGATCAAATTCTGGAACACACATACGTTCAAGCATTTTCAGAAGCATTTGATTCGCTGGTTGGAAGAAGACATTTCTGAAGGTGAACAAATCAGAAAAATAGAAAGGCACATCACAGTGAAGAACGAAAATGGAGTAAGTCGATCATGGAAAAAGGTGAGATGCGACGTTGATGTCATGATGATGCTTGGACCAGAGGATATTGTGTTGATGGTCTTTATCTCTTAGATATTATGATTTGTTTAGTTGTTTTGTCTGTTTATCATGTTGTCGTATTGTTGTCCTGAGTATGTGGTGTTGTAATTTTTGTGTCTTGATGTGAAAGTTGTTGTAATCGAATGGTAAATTGAACACGAAATGATAACTCAAATTTAAATTGAAATATATTGCGTACAACAAATTAAACAATCCGGATAGTTTGCTATTAAAAAGTTATGTTGCAGAGCTAGACCCAATATTCAGACAATTTTTCCGATTGTGTCCGGGAAGACGACATGTACCGCATAATCTTATCATTTTGTTGGATGTATTCATTTCAGTTCTAATACGAGTGCTTTTCGGGCGCCCCTTTTTCTTCTGTCGCATTTGTTCATTATGCCAAACAATGTCGCATTCATAAGCAGGCCAATAATCCTCCTTTGCCAACACGGAGAAGGTATTGATGTACACACTTAAAACGCTCTTTACCGTGTACACAGGGGGTATATGTTGTATTGGGTCCAAGCAAACATGTGAACATGCCACTATGACATGAGATCAAGGCATGTGAAATGCTTGAAACTTTACGTAATCACACCAACCTCTATCTAGTCCGACTCGATAATATCCCCTTGGCCTCCCCTCATTATGATCCAGTGTCTCTTGTACACTGAACCAACCTTTAATACAGTCAAACACGGTGACACTATGGGTGTTTGCTTTTGCAGCCTCCTCGTTAAATGTTTTCATTGTGCATTCACTGAACAACTGCCCTGATTGTAACACTGCCCTCCATTTTGAACTTCTTGTGTCAAACAATGATCCCATTCTGAAATATGTTGCTCTAACCAAAGCGGTAATTGGTAGGTTTCATATGCCTTTGAATACAGAGTTAAATGATTCCACCAGATTTGTTGTCATGTGGCCCCATCGTTGACCATTGTCAAATGCCCAAGTCCACTTCTCCACTGGAATATTATCGATCCACCTTAATGCTTCTGAGTTTTCCAACCGGATTTCTTCGCGATAGTATCGGAATGACGGTCCTGTTAAGGCATACCTTGCATTAATAACTTTCTTTCAAAGTGTCTTGTCTTTGATATGAAGCATGAAGTTTTGTGTGATATGTCTAATGCAATAGACATATATCGAAGGGGGATCCTACCAACCGTTATCAGGGTTATTGTATGCACTTACAATTGATGGATGTCTGTCTAAAATCAAACAAAGGTTGGGTTGTGGAGCAACGTGTAATCAAAGATTCTTTAGAAAGAAATTCCATGCACCACCTGTCTCACCTTCAACTAGAGCGAAGGCAATCGGAAAAACATTATTGTTCCCATCTTATGCCACTGCCATGAGTAATGTTCCTTTATACTTCCTGTATAACCAAGTTCCATCAATCTGTATAATAGGTTTGCAAAATGCAAAACCCTTGATGCATGGTTCAAACGCCCAGAACAATCGATGAAATATTCCATTCCCACTAACACGAGTTCTGTCTGGGGTAAAAGCCGGAAGTGTCTCCAAAATTATAACACTTCCCGAAGCATAATATTTGAGTGCCACCAAAAATCTTGGAAGTTCTTTGTACGATTCCTCCCAATTACCATACACAAGTTCATCTGCCTTAGTCCTCCCGATCCATGCCTTCCTGTAAGAGGGAGTATAATTGAATCTCGTAGTGATATGAGAAATAATTGTACTCACCTTTAATGATGGATCTTTGCTAATAAGAGGCAAGATTTCTTGACATATTAGTTGAGAACTAAGTTTCCGATGATCCTGTGTCGGAACGGTGGTGATGCAAGTGTGGAGTGGATCAATGGAACCTATTTCCCATGAATCACTTCTCTTCCTGTAAGATGCAGTTAACCGAAAAGGGAAAATTGGTTTTTGACGACATAAAATAACGTACCTCCTTGAATTATTTTTATCTACAGTGAAGTCAGCTAAAATTTCCATGTGGTATTTTTTGATAGCTCTAAGACACTCTTCTTTTGTTCGAAATTTGTCTCCAACTTTCAAGGCCCCTTTGGTCTGCATATAAGGATCGTGAAAGATATCAGAGGTTGGTTCATCTTCCCCCAAGTTCAAGTTCGTCATGTGAGACGGAGGGTCGTACGCATGACTTGCAGGTATAGGTTCATGCTCTTGATCTGCAGCGTCATCATTGACCATAAAATCAATAATTTCCTCATCATCTTCTTCTTCTTAGTCAATAACTTCGACTTCAGGATGGTTGTCCTCGTCAGATTCATCCTCTTCTTCAAAGTCTTGAGAAGGATTTACCACCTGAGATTGATCTGGTTGTTGTAATAAAACATACAGCTCAATCTCATCGAACCTGGATTGTTCATGAGTTCGAAACATGTTTCGAACATCATCATCGTCGCGCACCTTAAGTTGATAAAATTTGACTAGGTTGTTGTCAAATAGAAATGGGGACTTGTAAAGAATTTGGTAAACTGGACCACACTGCAATTTGGATTCTACTCTATCTTTGAAGCGTGCAAAACTGGATTTCTTATTTATCCGAAAGCGGATAAAATTGACATTACGGAAATTAAAACCTAAGTTATCGCAGTTGAACGTCTCACCATTAATATGGGCAACAATAGTATAATTTTGTGAATGATCCATGTTGTTGAGGTATGTTTTTTGTGAGTTATGGATGTATACTAGTAATGCAACCTACACAGACGATTAAATAGACTGATATTCTGCATGCATGTGCCACCCTAGGTGGCTTATCCTCCTCTTTATGTATGCATGTGCCACCTAGGTTGGCTTATCCTCCTTTTTTTGTATGCATGTGCCACCTAGGGTGGTTTGTCATTGAACAACAAAACTTGCATGCATGCCATCTGATCCCTGCCACGCTGCAGGTTTGCATGCATGCAAAAAGCAAGAAGCCATGTTGAATGGCGCCTATGTACAATAAAGAGAGCATGCTCCACCTAGTGTGGCGCCTATGTGCATTAAAGAAGAGCATGTGCCACCTAGTGTGGCACCTATGTGTATAAGTTGCATGCAAAGTGTTCTTCAAGATTTTCCTATAAATACATGTAACATTCACCCTATATTTTCATCACAATCATAACTCATACACTATTTCTTTCTTGAAGTCTCAACAACAACACAAGAGTAATCAAGGAAAAATGTCTCTCTTGACCATGGGTGATCAACATAGAGGAACTCCGAACAACATTGAAACCTTTGTAAGTGTATTTTCCTCAATACCTATTTTTTCCGACAATTTTTTGTTCCTTAATTCTTATGATTGTTATACCTAAATCTTGTATTGCTTATACGTAATTCATGTTTTTAATAGGATGTTAAAAGATTTCGTTGTCATGTCCGTGAGTATGTCTCTTACGACGTTCAAATTGAATCGTACTTACGACATGCCGATTTTGGTCCGTTACTCAACATAGTCAATTACCATGTTGACTATAAAATTATTCTCGCATTAGTGGAGAGATGGAGACCCAAAACTCACACTTTTCATCTTCCATGTGGTAAATGTACAGTCACACTAGAGGACGTGTATATGTTATTCGGTCTACCGATCGAAGATAAGGCTGTCAATGACCGAGTCAACCAAGACAATGCCATATGCGAGTAACTTTTGG